CAGGTTTGGATGAATGTTTGCAGGGTGCAGATGCCCCATATAAGTGGCACAAACATTGACTTACTTGCTCTAGGCCCTGGACTCCACTGTCCTAGGTCAGGTTTTCCGGAAGTGGAGCTCCAGCTGGCAATTCTTATGCAAGCAATTTTTCAGGGGCGCGTGCTGAGGGAGAAGCAGTGGAGGGCGAGGGGCTGAGCAAGGATGTGCTCTCTGCCGGAGAGGAGCCTGGTCTCACAGCACTGCAGAGTGCCCGGGCCAGCTCTTTCCAGTACCCTCTGGGCCAGTCATTGGCTGTGGGCTGCTAGGGGTGGAGAGGCTCAGCCATGGCTGGTGGCCAGGCCCTGTCAGGGATGACAGCCAGTCACAGACTGCATCCACAACAGTGTGGCACATTCTATGCCATTAAGCACATGGGCTTTTACATTTTGGTTACTTTTTGCAGTGCTGGGGATCAGACCTAAGGCCTCACCCATGCTAAGCAAGCCCTTTTCTTCCAAGGTACACCCCAGTCCAATCATATGAACTATGAACCTGAATCAAGTCACTTGTATGCTGGGTGTGGAGCTGAGGCAGGAGGATTGCTGTGAGTTCAAGGCTCGCCTGGATTACAGAGTGAGACCCAGTCTCAAAACAAACAAAATGTCACTTGTAGTACATACAAGTTTCTAAAGCTCACTTCTTCACTGCTAAATGGAGATGAGGATAGTGGGTAAGGGCAGCATAACTTGCCGACTAGCCAGGTAATTCATCCACAGTGCTTTACTCTGGTGCAGAGTGGTGCTCTCCACCTTGCCAGCCACTATCAGAGCTGGGCCTGAGGGCAGGTTTTAGAGTTGGGGGAGCTGTGGTAAGGTCACTGGGGAAGCCCTATAGCATGCAAACGACAAGTTCGGTGACTTGGAGCAGCCAATAGCTAAGAGGTAGGCAGATGGGGAGAAGAAATTGACAGAGATGGAGAATGAACAGGCTGAAAGGTGACAAAGAACAAGAGTGAAGGAGGAAGTGGTCAGCGATGACCAGCACAACAAACAAGTCCAGTAAATGACACAGGCCCGAGTTTGGTCATCCAGGCACCAAATGCCTTTTTTTGTTTTGTTTTTTTTTTTGTTTTTTTCCGGTACCGGGAATCGAACTCAAGCTTGCACTTGCCAGGCAGGTGCTGTGCTGCTGAGCTAAATCCCCAGCCTGCCTTTTTTTGTTGTTGTAGTGGGGATTGAATCCAGGTCCTTTGCACTGAGCTACATCCCCAGCCCTTTTTATTTTTTATTTTGAGACAGAGTCTTGCTTAGTCATAGAGTTGCTAAGGCTGGGCCTAAACTTCCAGTCCTCCTGCCTCAGCCTCCCAGAGTACTGGGATTTTAGGTGGGAGCTACCACGCCTGTCACCAAGGGACCTTTATGGTGCCTACAGGCTGCATGGGTCGGGGAAGAATCCCCAATTGCAATGGAGTTAGGCATGAGAGGGACAGAGGAAGTGAAGACTTCAATTTTTTTTCTTTTTATAAAATCACTTTTTTTTAAAAATAAAATCATTATGAAGACTTCGATTAAAGGCCAGCTAGAGGAACTTGATTTGGTGGGAGAGGGCAGAGAGCAGTATGGGAGAGCCAGGGAAGCAGGCCAAGGAGGGGCTGAGGATGGAGGGAGTCGGAACAACGGAAGGAAAGCTGTGGAGGATGGGTGAATGGGTGGGTAGGTGAGACACGGTCCTTGTCCTGGAGTTGCTCAGCAAAGCAGGGTCCTTACACGGGGCAGGGCAGGAAGAAATGTGGCCATCTGCCCAGGGAGCACAGGACCTTGGATTACACTGGACACCTGTCTTGATGACATAAGAAGCACACTTGTCAGCACTTGTCACAGTGCTGACCCAGGGCCTGGGTCACAGCTTCGAGGAGCTGTGGGCCTGGAACAGAGGCTGAGAGGAGCGTGCAAAGGAGCTGGCTACCTCTGCCGCTGGCCCGGGGCAGGGGTGAGAGGAGGAACCAGCCGCCCTCCCCCACCCCCTGCGAGAGATTGTTGTGGGCTGGGCTGAGCGGTTGTATAAGTTCCCAAGCTGCATAGGCAGGAGCGGCAGGAAGGGGTCGCTCACCCGGAAGCCTCATGCTGGTAAAGGACAGGCAATGCAAGGAAGGAAGGCGAGAGAAGAGATCAAACCTATTGAAACTACAACCTTCCTCTGACTTCTCAGAAGGACTCAGAGTACTAAGGAGACCGAGTCAGCACGGAAGTCCACCACACTTGCAGTTTGAGTAGGGACTGTGTAGGGCGGGATACACTGCTGAGAGCTGTCCTCAGACCCAGCCCTGCCTCCCACCTTGCCTGCTCCGTGCCTCAGCTTCTCTCTCTGTAGACTGAGGGTAAGAAGGAGAGGATGAGGTAAAGAGGCCAAGTACTTGCTATTGTTCTTAGGACTTGCCTAATTATTTCACTTAGTCTCAGCTAGCAGCTGTCAGGGGCCAAAAGAAACGCTCTTTTCAATTCTCCAGATCATTTCCAATAATCCTACTTCCAACGTTGCTGACCCTAGTTAGAGATGTCCACAAAACAGGTCAATATCTGAAAAAAAAACCTAGGCCTTGTGGGGGTTGCTCGGCTGTGTCACTGTCTGGGTCTCTTCTGGGTGGGGCCTCTCTCCCAGCTGGAGCCGGATCCTGCAGAGGCTCCGTTCTGGCCCCAGGGTTGGGTCCCCAGGGGAGAGGCTGCTGTGGTGGGAAGAGGCTGGGGTCAGAGTGGGCGCCACCACAACAAGCTGTGGTCTGAGAGTGCTTGCTGGAGGGAGCTCAGTGTTCTCCATCAGGAGTTGCAGGGTGTGGAGGAAGGCCAGCAGCGGGGAGGGGGAGGGTGGCTGCTGCAGGCGAGCTGGGGGAGGGGGAAGGATGTGGAGAGAGGAGGGTAGGAGAGAGGAAGTGGGAGGTCCGTGAGGGTGGGATGAGGAAATGGTGGGGTCTCTGACTATAAACTGGAGCCAGCAGGAGAGTACGTTCCAAGGACAGGAGCTTCCTGGAGAGAACTGCGCTCAGGGTTCCTGTCCCCCAAGTTTCTCTGTGCAGTTTTCCCTTTCTAGGGGAATGACTAATCAGTGTAGGGCCACCCTTCGTGTGTCCATCTATGGGTCACTTTAGCCCTGACCCAAGTGTCAATACTGCCAAACAGGGCTACCTAAAAATACTTGGTGAAGGAATAGAGGAATGATGGCGTGGTACACGGAGGGCTCAGGGCCATGGAGCCCTGGGTCCCCTCCCAAGAGTCTTCTGGCTCTTCCTGGGGACCAGCAGGCCCCCCTCCCCAGCCTCCCCTCCTGGTGCAGGATGGCCTCAGCTCCAGCCCACTGTCGCCCTCTCCAGATGGTGAGGGGACTGACCTCTTTGCTGTGGCAGTTCACGAGTTTGGCCACGTCCTGGGCCTGGGTCACTCCTCCGCACCCGACTCCATTATGAGGCCCTTCTACCAGGGCCCAGTAGGCGACCCGCACAAGTACCGCCTGTCCCCGGATGACCGCGAGGGCCTGCAGCAGCTGTATGGTATGGCAAGTGGGGGGCCGCCCTGAATCCGCTCCCCTGTGGCTTTCCCTTGACCTGTGCCACAGGCCCATGGAACCCACACCTGTGTGACCTTTTTCCTGCAGGGAAACCAGCCCAGACCCCAAGTGACAAGCCCACAAGGAAACCCCTGGTTCCTTCTCCCCAGCCCCCAGCCCTGACCCCTGACAGGTGAGTCCCCCACCAGCTGTGTGACCCGGATGAGCAGCTCCCCAGCCTGCGTGTCTGCCGTGAGATGGGGATTGTGGTCAAGGAAGTGGAGGAGCCCAGGCCTCTGCTCACCCCCTTTCCCTCCCCAGCCCCTCCACACCTGTCCCTGATAGATGTGAGGGCAATTTTGACGCCATTGCCAACATCCGAGGTGAAACTTTCTTCTTCAAAGGTGAGTGGCCCTAGATGGCCCCTGATCCCGAATATTTGGCTTAACTCTTGGGATGACTTTTACCCCAAGGTGGGAGGTTTTCTGAGAAGTGAGACTTTTGGTGTTTAAAAAAAAAAAAAAAAGGAAAATGTCCCCATAAGCCACTGAGGAGTTGGTCACCCTGGATCCATGTGCCCTAGATTTCCAGGAGGACCCCCTACACACACACACACACACACACACACCCCTGAGGAAGAGCAGAGCTGGCCCGCGTCCGGGTACTCTGCGGGACAGGCCCTCCTACCGTGCCCTGGCCCCGTGCCCGCCCCTTCTTCACCCGCAGGCCCCTGGTTTTGGCGCCTCCAGCCCTCAGGACAGCTGGTGTCCCACCGCCCTGCCAGGCTGCACCGCTTCTGGGAGGGGCTGCCCAGCGACGTGAAGGTCATTCAGGCCGCCTACGCCCGCCACCGAGACGGCCGAATCCTCCTCTTCAGCGGTGAGCGAAGGTCGGGGGGCGCCAGGGCGCCGCGGGCGGGCCGGGGACGCTGCTGACCGCGCCGCCCCTCCAGGCCCCCAGTTCTGGGTGTTCCGCGACCGGCAAGTGGAGGGCGCCGCGCAGCCGCTCTCGGAGCTGGGGCTGCCCGCGGGCGAGGAGGTGGACGCCGTGTTCTCGTGGCCGCTTAACGGGAAGACCTACCTGATCCGCGGCCGGCAGTACTGGCGCTTCGACGAGGCGGCCGCGCGCCCGGACCCTGGCTACCCACGCGACCTGAGCCTCTGGGAAGGGGCGCCGCCCGCCCCGGACGATGTCACCGTCAGCAATGCAGGTGCGGGAACGCAGGGCAGGAGGCCGCCGGCGCTTCTGAGTGACCAGCCCTCGGGGCTGGGGCTTGGGGCGGGTTCGGGGTGGAGTGGAGGATGGCAGAGGATCTGGGCAGAGGAGGGGCGCGATTGGGACGAGTCTGGACCAAGCTCCTGAAGGGCGTCCTCCCCGCCAACAGGTGACACCTACTTTTTCAAGGGCGTCCACTACTGGCGCTTTCCCAAAGGCAGCGTCAAGACCGACCCGGACTCCCCGCAGCCCATGGGGCCCGAGTGGCTGGACTGTCCTGCCCCAAACGCTGGTCCTCGAAGCCCCGTGGCCCCCAAGACCCCCAAAACAACCCCCAAGTCCGGAACCTGCGATTGTCAGTGCGAGATCAATCTGGCCCCAAGGTGGCTGCCCGAGCCCCTCCTGCTGCCCCTCCTGCTCCTGTTGGCGGGAGGGGTCTCCTGCTGCTGACGGGGGACATCCTGGGCCTCCATCCCGGGACCAGTGTGGGGTTGTGAGCCACGGCCGAGCCCCAGGGTGCGTTCCCACTGCGGGACTACCCCGGCGCGGAGCTGGGGGGAGGCCTTGAGGTGGGGGAGGGGGTGCAGCCTGGACCTGGCCACCCACCCACCTGCCCCCCGCGAGCTCTCGGCTGCACCGGAGGACACCTGCAGGCGGGAACCCGTCGCCAGGGGGCGCACGCACACTGAGGCAATAGTCCGCACCGCCCCTCACTGTCGGCCCCTGAAGCCACCAGGGGGCGGTACGGACCCTCCCTCCTGAGCCCAGAAGGAACCTGGACGCAGTGAGCTTGGCTCCGGAGCTTGGGCAAGGGCCCCAGCAGAGCTGGTGGATTGGACGCAGGACGTCCCCTTGGCGGTTCACAGGAAGGGAACTCCGTCCCCGGCCACGATGACACGGCAGGACTCTCCTTTTCCCGGAACAGCCGGGCTTTCTCAGAACTGTCTGTGGATCTCCCCAGCCTCCCCCCCCCCCTCCTGGGACTGTGAGCAGCGTCTGATTGGGCCGACAGCAGATCAGATCAGGACGTTGAGTTGCGCCCCTTCCTCCCCTGCTCCGTGTCTTCAAACCTGCTTGGTCCTCTCACCCTGTTCTGCTCCTACCACACCTCACTACTGTGAGCTCCCCATGGTGGAGCTCCAAAGCAAGACGAGACCTCGCCCAGAGCCCATGCCTCACACCCTGGATGACTTCAGTGACCATAGGGGCAACCCTTCCCACCTCTGGCCTGCTTCACCTCCAGGCACCCTCACCCCAGGGCACACAGCCTGGGCACCACCCCAAAACCAGCGGTCTCCTAAAGTGAACATCCTCTCTGCCCCTCTGCCACTTCACCGAAGTGCCCACGACTTTGCTCTAGAACAGCGTGGCTCCTACAGTGCTGCTAGTGGGCAGGGCGGATTCTGCTCAGCCATGCCTCCCCAGCACTCCTGGCGGGCCCTAGAGGTAGTTCTAGGGTGAGGAATAGATGAGACCTGGGGCACCTCATCACCCCTACACCCCACATTCAGGACCTGCACCTATGTTTCTGGAATATTCCATAACAGAAATCACCCGTGGAGGGGCTGGGGATATAGCTCAGTGGCACAAGCGCCTGCTTGGCAAGTGTAAGGTCCTGAGTTCGATTCCCGGTACCAAAAAAATAAAGAGAAGTCACCTGTGGGAATTAAAAATGCAGATTCAATCCCAATTCGGGATGAAGTCAGAATCTGCTTGGGCGGGACCTGTGCCCTGACGGCCCAAAGAGCCGGCTGCGTCGTGGCTTTGCTGTCGTCCCTCCAGGCACCAGCCTCTTCCATATTCTCTACTGGGCCAGGCTGACGGCCTGGGTTGAGAGGAGTCCATTCCCCTCAGGGCTGAGTCACTTAGAGGGCCACTTTGTGGTTTCTGTCTAGTCCCACTGGTCCCGTAGTGCTTTGGGGAGCCCTGGCCATGGACAACACTTAAAGAAACCAGAAGTTGGCCACACTTGTTCCTGACCCCCAGATCGGCATGAGAACAAGAGTCAGGCCTCCCCCACCAGTTTATAACCTGATGAATAAGCCCCTGGGGAGCCATCTGGCCCTGTGTCAGAGTCCTTTCCAAGTAGGGGGAGAGGGAAACAGCCCCACTCTGGAGAATGAAAATAGAAAAAGCTCTTCATTCCTTCTGAGCATTGATGATCCTGGGCTGAACTTTGGTGGCAGTAACGGGACAGACCCGAATTGCTCTGCTCTGCGGAGGTTGGAATGAATCCAGGATTGTTGGGGCAGGGGGTATTAAGTAGAAAGAGGAGGAGGAAGCAGAGGGAGGAACCAAAAGTTGACTGAGGGGAAGCCCAGAGGAAAGATGAGAAGCCAAGATGTTTTCACGGCTCCATGTAGACTCCAGTCATGAAATCTGGACTCATTAGTCTTTATTGACTACTACACAAAAATGTATCAAAGTGATTTCCTTTTATTTTCCAAATGGTACAGTAAAACATGGTACAATCCCATAACCAAAGTTAAAATCTTTTGTGTTTCAAAGGACACCATCAGGAACTTGCAAGACAACCCACAACATGGAAGATATTTGATTATATATATCTGGTTAGAGACTTATATCCAAACTAGAGAAATAACTTTTATAACTTAATAATAAAAGGGGCTGGGGATATGGCTCAGTGGCATAGCACCTGCCTGGAGGTCCTGAGTTTAATTTCTGGTAGCCCCCCCCCCAAAAAAAAGGGGGCTGGGAATGTAGCTCAATGGCATAAGCACCTCCCTGGCAAGTGCAAGGTCCTGAGTTTGATTCCCGTACCAATAATAATAATAATAAATAATAGGACAGCCAGATTAAAAATGGGTAAAGATCTGAGTATACACTCCTCCCAGATAGACAAAAGATTAATCAGCATATGAAAATATTCTGGAGCATCATTAGTTATCATTGAAATACAAATCAAAAATATAATGGGAAAAAAATATAATGGGAGCTGGGCATGGTATGCACATCTATAATCCAGAATTCTGGGAGGCCAAGGAAAGGAGGATCACAAGTTTGAGCCCAACCTGAACAATTTAGTAAATTAGTGAGACTGTCTCAGGAAAAAAAAAAAAAATTTAAAAAGATTGGTGATGTAACTCAGTGCTATGACCTTGGGCTCCATCCCTGGTACTGCAAACAACTATTTAAATTCACTAGGATGGCTAGGATTAAAGAAATAGATAATAACAAGTGTTGTTGAAGAGGTAAAGAAACTGGAACTGTCACACCTTGCATTTGGCAGTGTAATATGGTATAGACATTATGGAAAAAAGTCTAGCTATTCCTCAGAATCTGAAAGACAATTGCCCTCTGTCTCAGCAATTCCACTCCTAGGTCCACACCCAAGAAAAGTGGAAAGTCCACACAGAAATGTGTATGTGAAGCCCAACATGGTCGTACGTGACTGTAATCCCAGGGTTTCTGGGTTGAGTTTTGCTTGTCAAGGTGTTTTGTTTTTTTTTTAGGCAGGATCTCAATACAGATATTCCTCATTTAATGACCTACTATTTAATAACTGTTTGAACTTATGACCAAAGCATGCTGTTAAACTTACAACCCACTACTCACACTTATGATCTATCTTTTTTTTTTTGTACATTTCTGTACATCTTAGGGGTTTTTTTTTTGAGGCAGGGTCTCATTATGTAGTGCAGGCTGGCCTTGAACTCACTTATATAGCCCAAGCTGGCCTCGAATTCATGGCAATCCTCCCGCCTCAGCCTCCTGAGTGCTGGGATAACAGGCATGTGCCACCATGCATGGCTGTACATCTTGTTTATACAGCCTCAATGTCTTTTATTGTACAGTACACCTTTTACATGTAGTATTGTAATTCTTGCTGATTGTACTGTACAGTACAGAACTGTAGTTTAATGTTCTGTTATACATTACAGTACTGCATGAAATAATTATGCAAATAAAAGCAAAGTCATCAAGTGGAGTTTCTTTTGGCCATTTCTTTGTTCTGGATATTGTAATGTACATACTGTATACATTTTCTCATTTAGGGACCAACTACATTGCAAGAACATAAGTCAGTTGTTAAATAAGGAGTGTCTGTATATAGTCCAGGCTGGCCTCAAACTCACAGTGGTCCCCCTGCCTCAACCTCCGGAGTGCTAGGATTACAGATGTATGCCACCACACCTGGTTTTTGTGTTTTGTTTTGGGGTTTTGTTTGTTTTGCTTTTTGAGACAGGGTCTCACTATCTAGCTCAGGCTGGCCTTAAATTCACTATATAGCCCAGATTGGCCTTGAACTTGAAGTGGTCCTCCTGCCTCAGCCTCCCAAAGGCTGCGGTTACAGGTGTGTGTCACCACAACAGGTATCTCCAGGTTCTTGATGTCCTCAGCAAAGAACTGAGTAAGACATCTAAGAGTAGCAGTCAGATCAAAGATTTATATGAAAGCTCATGTCTGTGGACCTTTTGGCAGAAAACCCACACTAGCTTCCAACTCATGCAGAGACTGGGAGGTCTGGGTGGGTTAGTTCCTGGACTGAACACCCTAAACCGCTCAGACCCTAAATAAGTTCTATCTCTCCATCCTCCTGATATGAAACAGGAATTACATCCCAAATGCCGGGGTTGCTCTGCCTGCTTCACAGAAGACAGGATCCAGGTGGCCAGGAGCCCAAGGGGACCTTTGGAAACAAGGTACTGAGATGGTCCCAAGCAATGCCAGGTGACTGCAGAAGTTGTGGCTGCTTCCCTGTCCCCCTCTCCAGCCCTAACAGATTCCTGCCTGGGTCACCTCTCACCAGGGGCACAGAGAGGGTGCTGGAAACACAGACTTGGCACCTTCTGAGTGCACTTCTCTGTAAGGCCTGTGTGGTGAGTGAGTGTGCAAATGCCCGTGTATGAGAGAGCACGGAAATAGCTTGACCCAGGGCAGAGGTGAAAGACACCACAGAAGACCCAAGGGTCACTGTTCTTTCCACAGATCCGAAATGGCCCTTGCTGGGGGTGCAGTTCCATGCCAGAGCACTTGTCTTGTGTGTGTGAGGCCCTGGGTTCAATTCCAGACACAAACATACATGCCCATGTGTGCTTGGGATAATGGGTGAAGGGCTGGGATGCTGAGGAGGTTCCTACTTACCTGGAACTCAGGATGGAAAAGGATCAGGCCTGGTGGCCCCAACCCTGCATCTCCACAGCTCCAGGATGGACGCAGCTGGGTTGATTATCAGGTAAGGGCTGATGCTGTGGCTTGTATCCAGATGGCCTCCCAAAACCTCATGAGTTCCTAGGTGGGGCTTTCAGGAGGTGGCTGGCTTTAGGGAGTTTGGGTATGGATTAAGGATGAGTGACAACTGAATTAGTTCACTGATTGGTTTAGCTTAGTTCTGGGTGTGGCTGAATGGATTTACTGAAAAGGGAAGCCCCACCCTGTAAGTAGGTAGCACCAACCAATAGCTTGTAGCCTGCATGGAATATAAAGGGACAGAAAGAATGCAAGCTCGCCACTGCTGTTGCTGCCTTGTGCCAGCCTCAGGCTGCATCTCCACTGGCTGTGACCCTCTGCTGGGCCGCTCTGCTTTGGAGCCAGCTGACTGTGGACTAAAACCTCTACCAGCTGTGAGCCGAAATAAATCTTTCCTCTTTTAACTTGAGTGTGTTGGGTATTTTGTCCCAGCAGTGAAAAAGTAACTGAGATAACTGATCAAAAACTATGGTGTGTGTTTACGTTTTTATTTTATTTATTTATTTTGGTCTTTTTGAGACAGGGTCTCACTATGCAGTTCAGGCTGGCCTCTAACTTACTTTGTAGCCCAGGCTGGCCTCAAACTTGCAGCGATCTTCCTGCCTCAGCCTCCTGAGTGCTGGGAATACAGGTGCGCGCGACCACACCAAGCTGTAACATTTTTTTTTTTAAATTTTTATTTATTTATTTATTTATTTGCGGTACTGGGGATTGAACTCTCTATCTTGCGCTTGCCAGGCAGGCACTTATGCCACTGAGCTATATGCCCAGCCCACGTTTCTAAAAAAGTATTACAGTTAAAGACACATTGCCATTAACTCCTTCATACTCTTCTCTTTGAACAAACACTTTCTGAAACAGTTCTGAAAGTCCTCTTTCATGAGTGTTTTTAGTTGTACTGTTGTGGCTGCTTCAATGTCCTGAATCAATTCCATGTTTACCTTCCATAGTCACTTTGACTTTGGGGAGGAAGTTGCACAGTGCCAGATTCAGCGGTTAAGATTGTTGAGGTCACACTGGAATGTTTTTATTTGACAGAAATTGCTGTACATATTTTGAATTGATTCAGGACATCAAGGCAGCCACAGAAAAAGACAGTTACAAAAGATGATTTCCCAGCTGGATGTGGTAGTGCAGGCTTGTAGTCTCACCCCTTAGGAAGCTGAGGCAGGAGGGTTTCCCCTGGCGACCTCCTCTCCGCACTGCGCATTAGGGGCTGGAGCAAACAGGGTCCCTTGGAATTAACAGGGCTGCCACAAAGTCAATGAGAGAGGGTCATTGTCCAGCCATTGCTGTAGCAGACTCTCAGCTGGGATAATTGCTCCAAAAATCTAGATTTAACCCCTTTGATCAGAAAGGGTTGAGAGACTCACAGCAATGTCCCCATCCCCAGGCCTCCAGGCACCCAAGCGCCTCACCGCCAACTCCAGGGCCCCCAGGCCAGGCGCCTCCCTCCAATGTCCTCTCCCCGAGTGACCCACCTGTCCATTTCTTTGTTTGTTTGTTTGTTTTTAACTCTTGAACTCACTATGCAGCTCAGCCTGACCTCAAAGTCATGGTGATCCTCCTGTCTCAGCCTCCTGAGTACTGGGATTACAGGCTTGTACCACAGCTCCTTGTCCTTTTAAAGACGTCCCCTCCCCACTGTATTTCAGGCTCTGTCCCTCTCAGTAACCCAGCACATTCTCTGACACCCACAGGGTCCTCAGTAATGATAGTTTATACCTTGTTCACTCTTCTAACCTCTCACCCTCATTCTCTTATATGACTAATCTTTTCACTTTGAAATTTTCTTCTCTTCTTCCATGAAATCAATTTGTCTTTTCTTTTCTTTTCTTTTCTTTTTTTTTTTCTTAAAGCAAGGTCTTGCTATGTAGTTCAGGCTGGCTTTGAATCACTTTGTAGCCCAGGCTGGCCTCACACTCACAGAGATCAGCCTCCTGAGTGCTGGGATTACAGGCATGGGCCACTACTCCCGGCTAAATCAATTTGTTCTGTGACATCTGGTAATGTCTGTACCCAATCCTCCTGCCAACCCCAAAGAGTTAGACCTTCCTGGGGCTCAGAATTTTGGTGTCTACTATGCCCAAGAACCATCTCTAGCATAGTGGTACAGCATGTGTCTAGCAAGTACAAAGCCCTGGATTGGATCCTCAGTGCCCTCTCCCCACCAAATAAAATCGATGAAAAATGAATCATCTCACCGAGCAAGTGGCGCACACATATAACCCAAGTGTCTTTTCTTTTCTTTTTTTTTTTTTTTGTCTTTTTGATACAGTCTCACTATGCAGTTCAGGCTGGCATTGAGCTTACTTTGTAGCCCAGGCTGACCTTAAACTCACAACCATCCTCCTGCCTCAGCCTCCCGAGTGCTGGGATTACAGGTGTATGCCACCATATCTGGCCACCCCAGTTTCTTGAGAAAGGCCAAGGCAGGAGAATGGAAAATTCCAGGCCAGCCCAGGCAATTCACCAAGACCTCGTTTCTCCATGTGATGGATTTGCTGGGTATGATCCAGGCTCTTGTGTTTGATGAGCAATGAGTTAATTGCAAATGAACAGCAGATCGCAGGTGGAAAGCAGCTACGTTTATTGGAGATCACAGGACGTCACGGTCAGGGTAGTTCCGTGGCCGCAGAACCGTGGCACTGGGGTGACAGGAAGGCAAAAGCATGGCACGTGGCAGCAGTCCAGTAATTAAGCACTTGGAATCGAAAGGACGTGCACCTTGGCCCTGGTGCCTCCCAGAATCTCTATACAACTGACAGGGGGTCATGTGACCCAGAGTTCCCTCTGATCTTAACTGCACGTATAGACACGCCTGTAATCCCAGCACTTGGGAGGCTGAGGCAGGAGGCTCGTTGTGAGGTCAAGACCACCCTGCACTACAAAGTGAGCTCAAGGCCAGCCTGAACTGCATAGTGAGACCCTGCCTCAAAAAAGACAGAAAAAAAAAAAAATCCCAGCACCTGAGAGGCTGAGGCAGGAGGATCTCAGGGTGAGGGAAGTCAGCATGGGCTACACAGCGAGCTCAAAGCCAGCCTCAACGATATATCGGGATCCTGTTTCAGAAAAGAAAACAAACCAAAAAAA